CACACACACACACACACACACACACACACACACACCATGTGCCTTACTGGAACATCTCCCACTTCCTTTTGTCGGAAGCTTACCCTCCCTCTCTCCCTCTGCCGTTCTGCTCAGCCTCCATCCTTTCATCTCGCCTGCCCTCTCTCCTCTCCTTCTCATCTTCATCAGCATTGTTCACTTGGTCACTCTCCTTTATATTTTCCATTTCTCGCTGTTATAGATTCTACATTGTCTACTCACCCCACCCTCCCCCTCCAGTTTATTTGTTAACACATCTTTTTTTCCCACTTCTTTTCTTTTTGTGGCCCTCCTCTGGCTCTCTATGTTGGGCTGATGGCCAGTGTAGACCAGAGACAGGTTGCAATTACTTTACTCCTACTCTGACAGCTGTAGTGAAGCAAGGAAGGGAGATAAAGGGACTAAACAAAAAGATAAACAGAATAATTAGGGCTAAACTTAACACCCTGATCCTTTTATTTTGCCCACTAACGAACGATCCTGAAGCATTTCTGTCATCTCTGCAGTCCTGTTCACAACAACGCAGAATCCAATTAAGCGTGCTACTCCTCCCCAAAGTTATCCGTCTTTTTCATCCACTGAGTTGCTGCACAATCAGACATCAAGAGACTTATAATGCAGTAATGGAGAATGATTTCTTCCACATGCCCAGTGTAGCATACAAGAAGTGGCCTTAATTGGTGTAGCTATATTTGAGTTGTGATGTAGGGCGGGCATTGCCTGACTTACTGTGTTGGGACAAATTTGCATATCTTTAAAAATCAATAATATGAGACAAGAAAAGAAAAAGGAAAACAAAGCATGAATGTTTTCACTGCACGTGTCTCTTGGATCCGACCTGGGCCATGCTGCAGTTTTCAAATGTTTCCCTCAAAGTAGCAGCTTAAACAGAAGGAGAGCTCATTAGTTAAAGGTTGTAACAGGTATGAATAAGTATTGTTTGACGATCGTCAGCTAGATTCATCTGTGTGAATGATTTTGTTAATTACCAGAACTAGTGAGGAGCAGAAAGTTTCATTGTTGGCTGGAAGCTGAGCTCCAGATGCTATTTTTGTCTCGGGTGATCGATGATATTTCTCTGGGGTCAAAACTTACTGTGACAGGTGCCACCAATTAGGTGGCGCCGGCAACCTTCATCTCCCTTGTTTTTTCAGTAAATAGGCAGGTTTTCACACACATGCACAGTAAGTGTCATCTTGCACCCACACATTGATGGTGTGAATTACTTAAATTCATACATACGCACACAGTTGTGGTCAGAAGTTTACATCCTCATCATGAGCATGAATGTCTTGGTAATTTGGGGCCGTTCGTTTCTTTAATCTGTTCTTTTTTGACTGC